CCATATCACCAATAATTTTTCCATATCGTGGATAGGACCTTGTCTTTTCTTTGATATTATAGTTCCCTTTATAGGTGTTGTTCCTTTCACTACTTCACGAATACGTTCCTTGTCCTTCAGAATAGTGGATATAGTCGAGTGTGAGAAACCTAGGTCGCGTGAGATCGTTGCTACTGTTTTTCCATTCTCATACTGTGATATTATCTTCAGTTTCATCTCAAAAGTAATTGCCTGTTTCCTTTTCCTTGGAGTACCACCAGCACTCCCACTTTTACGCTTTCCAGTCATTATAAAGTCAATTAAATACAATAATAACGAAAGTTCACAGCGCGATCAGTATAGTATACGATAGCCAAACACAAACAAAGCGCTCCACTGAGTGAGTGTACCCACGAGGCGACCCAAGACACCCCTCCCTCTCGCCCGGGACGGAAATGTTTCGGTATAGAAAATGCGCGCGTCATTTGAAAAAAATTTTGGTCACGACGGTCGCAGTCGTATGTCCCGTACGGACGTACGGTCAAAGCAGGTCGTAAGTACCAATGGACGTAAGTCCACGTAGTCGTAAGTCGGGGTCTGTCTGTAGTTCCCTGTACTGCATATATTGTCAATATGTTAAATAAATGTTAAAATGACTAATAATTTTAATATAAAAAATGCAAACATATTTAAGAGCATATCTTTATGGATATTTACTCCACTGGAAATGAATGTAAACAGACCAGATTACTGAATTGGCAGACTAGCCCAACAGCTGATCAGCTGATGCTCACAACAAAACGTGATGTTCGTAAGGATTTTGTTAATCGAATTTTGTTCGTTAACCGAATTGAAGATTCTTATGGAAGGTAATTCATTAACCAAATTTTTTTTAACCGAACCGTTTGGTAACCGAGGGACCACTGTATTTATCGCCCATGGTCTCATATTGTTTCCCACAAAGTATGCACAGATAGTTGTTTTAGCTACTGTACCTCCACCAAGTGTTGCGGTAAAGGTTGAGTCGACAGTTAGCACCCAAACAGTTGTTCTTTGGATGGTACTTGGTAATATAGTGGAAATGACAAAATTTTAGTATTTTTTCTTTTTAGCCTATTTTACGATCATAAATTACTTGTTAGTTGGTAGCGCATGAGAGGAGAGGGAAATAACAGGGTAAAAACACTATGAACACTGATCTTATGACAGTAAATTTGCACCTGCTTGCTCTTTAGGCGAAGCAATGTTTACTGTTATGGTGCCGTCAAATATCTCATGGCGACCATGTTTTGGTTCACATCTGCTGTACAGGAGCTTCCTCGGTCTTTGTTTTCATGTCATGATATGAATGTCGATCTCATTGGATGTGTTGATTGCAATTTATATATGATTGAATTTGTTAATTTTTTCTAGAGATGTTATTTGGATGATAGTAAGAATATCAAAATGACAATGTACAGTTTAGGAATTCAGGTGAGCTTAGCTAAGGTTCAAATAGGTTCTGTGCATTGTTGTTCAGATTTTCTTATTTAGTATCTGTAGTGGATGCAATCCTAGACAAGGTTCTTGAAACTCCAGAGCACGAGCAGTAGGTATATTCAATAAGTGTACAAGACTTGGCGTGATAGCCGACCGATACAGGAGCGAGCACAAGGGACCCCGGACCGTAGGTAGGCCGGAGCCGATCTGAGGGAAATTAGCTAGCTAGGCAAGGAGAGTTGCTAGACATTACTAGGACAATAAATGAGGTCTTCTAATTACTCGACTAGCGCGGTACAGACATAGTACATCGGGACACAGTAAATGGACATAGGCATTAGACATAAGCATAGATATCAGACATGCTATAATAATATGTAGTAATACAGACATGTGAATAAATGGTATAATGAATGGTAACAGAGTCTTGGCGTCAGGCGTGTTCACATATCTTGGTATGTACATATCTATACAGTATCATCCAAACAATATCTTATGTAAATTTGGTGCAATTCCAAAAATTTCTTTTGGTGCTGTCTCCTCCACCATTACCCTTGGCACCAGTGGTGTATGTGTGGCGCTCAGCATTAGAAGGGGGTGAAGCGACACCCTGGTTAAAATTAGTTTTTTGATCGATATCACTATTTTCTCCCTTCCTCTACATGTTGGCAGGATGTAACCCTCTAGCTAGAATAGAAATTCCTTCAAAAATAAGGTGTGATTTCGCCTAAGGCCTGGAGCTACGTATCTGGCTGTGTGCTCAGTCAAAGAAGGTGGCAACATCCTGTTCAGAGCATGAGGAGCACGAACCAATGACAGCGTGCCTCCCTCGGACCATACCCCCTAAGGCAGCCAATCGCAATGGATTTTCCCTTGCTACGTCACAGCTCCTCGGTCAATTCGTGCTCTCAGATGCTGCCTCCTTTGTTAGTTTTGGCACGTTGTATAGCATAAGGAGGTTCAGTGTACTTTCTATTTGCTATTTTTGATAACTTTAAGGTGTAACATTGACGTTATTCGTATTCCACGGGTGTGAGAAGTGTTGTGCAATATTTGCCCGATATTAGAGCAAGACGAGTGAGGCTAGGCCTTCTGGTGTTGGTTCAGGAGCCTATTATTCCTGAGCGTGTTTAGTGATGACAGTGCTCACGTGGACACCCCAGGAATGCCTGGTGACAGTGATTTTGGCACACTCATAATACAAAAAGTGACTGCTATGCATCACAAGACAATTTTGCAGACTGTTCCGATACAGAGTTACACATGCACTGACGGCAATAATGACGATGAAAGTGAAGATGAAAATAATGAAAGTGAGTCTAATGGTAACACAGTGACACTAATGTTTCACAACAAGAAAATGCAGACTGTGAGGAAGTAAAAGTGGACATTGACTGGGAAATGTCCTAGCGTGGATAGAAGACTTTCTACATGACCTCAAGCAGTGTGTGGTGGTTAATGGCACGAAATCGTCATCCGTACATATCACAAGTGGGGTACCACAGGGCAGTGTATTGGGCCCGCTGTTGTTTGTTTGTTTCATAAATGACATGCCTGACGTTGTACACTCCTCCATACAAATGTTTGCCGATGACGCTAAGTTATTTCGGGAAATTAAGAACCAAGCGGACTGTGAAGAGCTGCAGAAGGACCTCTGTGGGCTCCAGGAATGGTCGAAGAAATGGCTGAGATTCAATGTCACGAAGTGTAAGAGGATGCACCTGGAGCGTATCAACGGTAAGGAGGCATATCATATGTCCCAACGGGATGAAGAAACTGTGCTAGTTGAGACTGAATGTGAGAAGGACCTAGGTGTGCATGTTGACAATGAGCTGAAGTTCTTGGGCCATTGCGAGAAGGTAAACCAAGCAAATAAAATATTGGGTCTTATAAGAAGGTCGTTCAGATATCTAGACGGTCCGTCCCTCGTAACGATCTTGAAGAGTGAAGTGCTTCCCCATCTGGAGTACTGTCACCTCGCCTGGTCCCCGAGATATGCTAGGGACTGTCAGTTGGTTGAAAATGTTCAAAGGAGGGCCACCACTGGTGCCTGCACTTCGGCACCTCAGCTACCCTGAGAGATTGGAGCGCCTGAACTTGCCTAGCTTATACTACAGACGGGCAAGGGGTGACCTAGTTGTGGTGTATAAGCATCTCAGGGGGCACTACTCAGTCGAGTGTCCTTACTTGGAGCTGGCTGACGCTCGCCCCACGAGGGGTCACAGCCCAAGATTGAAGAAGCCGCAAGTCCAGAAAACTGTGAGGGCAAACTTTTTTGGAGTGAGGGTTGTAAACTCTTGGAACAATCTACCAGAGAGTGTTGTGACAGCACCGAGTGTGAGCTCTTTCAAGACAAGACTTGACCAACACTGGAGCAGGTTCAGGTACATTCAGGAGCCGGTGCATGCCCAGTACTTGCCAACAGTGCGTGACAGAGACGTAACCGATCGCCCGGGTGGCTAACGAGCCGATCTTTTGGTGAAGAGGATAAATGAAAGGGAAAAGTAATCAGACGTGACGATCGCCCAAGTGGCTAACGAGCCGATCAGTGGCGAAGAGGATAAAAGTAAGAGACATGCATTGACTTTGATCGTGATGAAAGTGAGCCTGACCCAATGAATGCTAGTGAAAGTGAGCCCATAACTCAGTCTTATCATGAAACTGAACTCTTGCCGGCAACAATATCCAATTATTTAGTTGTTGAAGAATCTGTGTGCTGATTTTTTGAGAGTGCAGAGAAAGACTTTGATCAGTACGTGATTGATTATGAAGAGGCCATTAAAGTTATACGCACTCTTCAGGATTTATGTAACTTCAAGTTACTACGATCTTCAGGGATAATAAAACGAAGGAACTAAACAAAGTAGGCTAATACAGTATTGTATTACTATTACCATAATACTGTTTTACCAAAGATTATGTAAACTTTCTCTGCCTTTGTATTCGTATGTTAATTACTTTGGGGGGGATGAGTGTTGTGGTGTTTTCTTATTATTACACACTATTATACTTTACAATATCATAAATCTTTGGCTAATTATAGGGACGAAAAGATAAATACTGATAGGCGAATGAGTTTTTTTATTATTATTGAATGGTATTTTTTGGGGGGGGGGGTGGTGTAAGACGAGTGCTGTTTTTGGTGATCATTAACTTGTTTTACAGTATTAGCCCACAATAATAAGAAAATTTTGCAAAAAACGCAATTATTGTTGGTTTGAGATCAAACAATTGCACATCACGGGTAGTTATTCTCATTCAATTCGCGATAAAATAATAACTGTTCACAGAGGTAACTTCCAGTTTTCACACTTTGCTAGGAGAGGGATTGAGCTGCATGATAAAAAAGAATAACCCTCTTGCTTAAATTCGTTTTTCTCAGCCTTTTGAATTTGGCGCTTCATCCCCCTTCTAATGCGGAGTGCCTCGTATGAGGAGTAGAAAACATGTGCTGGTAATTTGTTGAACCCGTATGAAATGTGTATTTCAGGTTGACTATATTAGTCATATTCAAGATATATTAACTGTAATCAACTATATAGGTGTTACCGCCGGGTCGGGCACAAGAAAGAGCGAGTTCTGTAGGACGTGCATGCACTCTCAGCAGAGGCCAGACTTCTTCCCCTGTGAGAACTCAGCAACTGGTAAGCTCATTGATTGTTCAGTATCTTTTTTTAGGTTTTTGTAGTGAAATTTTATTACTGTTGTGCAGAGAATTTGGATTATGTTTCTCCTGGCCTGCATTTCATTCATTAAGTTATTTGCAAGATCACCTGCCAGAATACTTCCTAACACTGTTTATTTTATTCTGTGAGCTATCTGTTCTTGAGGCAGATACAGTTGCCTCAAAGAGTTCTTTTACCCCCCTTTGGTGATGTTTACATAAATGTGGTAACGTCACATTTCCAGACTTATAAATGAATGAGTAATAGTCTTGTAACGTTGAGCCAATTGGTGGAAAAGTTCTGGTGTTGGACATCAGTCCTTGCCCCAGAAATAAAACTGAAGGTTACCTCACCACCATATTATCACTATCATGTTACATAAGTAATCCTCAATCCTGTTTTCATATTTCATGACGGCTCTGAACACGCCTTTGAAGACAATCTCCACCGCTGCCACGACCACAGCACCTTGCATGATACTCCATTATACAGGCCTACCACCATCCACATTTATATTTGATGCCTCTTACGGTTTATATACAGTACTATGTTTGCCGGCTTCCTACGATTGCTTACCAAAAGTATTTTGGTTTTATATAATTTTATATGTCTACGTGACATGAAGCATGGGACCAAGTACCAGTGGCATTTTATTTATTTTTTTATTTTTTTAATACAATAAAGCCTTGAATAACGATGTTAATGTGTCCTCCAATATTGCAGTGCAAGGTGAATCGCTTTATCGCGAATCAATAATTACCAGTAAAATAAAGCAATAATAATGAGATGAGTTCCCAAGTGTGACCTTTTCATATCTTTTGTGTGGCTTTTAACTCTCTCTTCCCCCCAAGACACTAAAAATAATGAAAAGTGCAAACTATATTCTTTAAATAATGATTCTGAATGCACCTTATACAATATAAATGAATAATATGGTCACACAAGAGGTGGGACGCCATTGTTTTCGTTTTTGTTTACAGCTGGAAGTCTGGGACGATAGTTCTACACGAGCAAATGAAGAAAATAAGACCCTGGTTGTAGCTGTAATAAATTTAATTTAAAAAAATAATAATATATATATATGTTTTAAGTAACGCTATTTAATGTTAATAAATGGAACAATCGAAGAAGCTCACCACTAATGGCAAAGAAAAAAAAGAGGTGGATTGGGAATGCCAACATATACATGCACATTTAAGGATACTGTGGGTTATGTATATAAGCTACTGTGCTGAGTAGCAACCCTGTATATAAGCTACTGTGCCGAGTAGCATTTATATATATTATCACGTGGCAACATTGCTCCGAGGCTGCCATATGGCAAGGCAGCCTCAGTCTGACTGTGTGAGCCGTGCATGGCACACAAAAGTCACCACTTGTATTTCTCTCATCCATAATGAACGGACCATGGTGTTACTCAGTGTTTCCCTACCCATCATTGCATTCTTTGGGGAACACTAGTAACCACCATGGCGCAGTGCCTAGGATCTGTGGACTTACAAAGTGTGTGAACTATGCCGAGACAGTTACGTCTGCTGGTGATGCGCGTCGACTCAGTGTGTTGTGTTGTGTTTTTCTGTGTTTCGCCGCGATGTGCAGTGTTGGGCCGTCACAGTGCTTTTTAGTGACGGTGGCAGTGTTAGTGCCAGTGTATTAGTGTGTCTAGAGCTGCGAGTTGAGCATTGGCCTGTTTTTTGTGGTACCCACGGAGCACCCCGGCGTACACCCTTCTCGTGTGACATCCCGGGGGAACTGACGGTCTCACCCCCACCCCCGGCGGCTCTAGCCACCTGCCTTAAGGCCACCACGCTCCGCTCTCTCAGACACACACACACACGCACGCACTCGCTCATGGACAGAACAGTGGACTATATGCGCATTTCTGCTCTGTTTATATCATATATATGTGGTTCGAGCTGTTGAGGCGCCACTTTATATACTAAACAGTGCAGTCCACGCACACACTAAGATGGGAGGTAAGAAGGGACGACGTCAAGATGGGAGACACGACTCCCCACCACCTTCTCCTCCACCGGGCGCAGACTCTCATCCTCCACCTCCAGTGACGGACATTGCCACAATTCTGAAGTGGATGGACGACCGGGACAAGAGACGCAGAGAGATGGAACTTCAGAGGGAGGAGACATGAAGAGAGGAGGAAAAGTTGCGTTTTGAGGCACTATTGGCGACCCTGGCGCTAACCCACCCTCCCTCACTCGCAGGTAGCGCGCATATAGGCGCCAGTACCCTCCCTCCTCCACCACACCAGCGTCCTTCAGGTACTCTTGCCTCCAAACAAACAGCTCCCAAGGCATCTGTTCAACCCCCACCCGCCCTCTCACCAGACGTCACGTTTCAGCTTTTTCGTGAGTGGAGGCGGTGTTGGACAGATTACTCCACGATGGTGGACCTGGACAGCATGCCTCTAAACAAACAGCTCATCCAACTGCGGATGTGTTTGTCGCTGGAGACCCAGAGAGTTTTGGAGCACACGTTGCAAGTGCCTCCCGATTCTACCTCTTCAGTGACGGATGTGCTCGACCTTTTACAGGAGCATGTTAAGGGTCGGAACAACGAGGCTTTGCGTCGCCGTGCCTTCACCAGCTGCAAGCAGGCGGAGAACGAATCCTTTGACGACTTTTTTGTACGCTTGAAGAGTTTGTCAGAGGAGATCGACGTCTGCAAGGCGCACAGCCGGGAATGTGAGGAAGCCTGGATCAAGCACGGGATCTTGACAGGTGTCAGGCACGAAGAGTTGATGCAGCGACTCATCCCCCTGGACGCTTCCTCCACACTCCAGGTGGTAGTGACTGAATGTCGGTCATACGAGGCCACCAAGTCCGCCACCTCTGCCTTACGGGCCCCTCCTGCTGTGAGAGCAATCTCACAATACAAGAAAGGTAAGAAGGCGGCCAACAACGCGAAGGCTGCCACACGTTCTTCCACGCCTCCGCCTAGTGCTTCCTGTGGCAGCTGTGGAAAGCGGCATGGCCCCAAGACTTGCCCGGCCACCGACGCACTGTGTCGTGGATGTGACCGTAAGGGCCATTGGTCTAACACAGACAGGTGCCCTGCACAAGGCCACAAGTGTCAGGCCTGCGGTCGCTATGGACACTACGACAAGTGCTGCCGCCAACCCAAGCCCAAAAGCCCGAGACGAGGAGGACAGCAGCGCACTTCCCTCGGGGTGGATCGCACACAGCCCCCTCCAGATGGCCCACGCAGCCCCAAGCAGCAGCGGAGTCACATCAGGAGGGTGGAATCGACCACACGCCCCAGGGCTACCCCTTCCCCTACTATCCGCGTCGCCGTCACACATGGTGATGTGTCGGGTCACATCGAGGTGATACCGGACACCGGCGCCGATACTACGGTGATTGGATTGAAGCACCTCCAGAAACTGGGCCTCGCCAAGCGCGGCCTGGGACCACTGCCGCAGCTGCAGTACTACAATGCGGACGGTTCCCAGATGCCGGATGCTGTGGGCTCCTTTCAAGCAGAGATCACCTACGGCGACAGGTCGTGTCACGGATGGATCGACGTGCAGCCTACTCTCGCTACACCCTTGTTGTCGTGGGAGCACTGCAAGGAGTTAGGCGTGGTGCCCAGAGACTTTCCTGAGCAGATCCCAGCTGCTTGGTACACCGCCAGCAGGGTGCGGGAATCAACGAGCCACGCGCTTGGCGCTGCCGCACAGAGCTGCCCAGAACCCGCGTCCACTCCCGCCCCGCCTCCACCCAAGTCACGGCTGCTTCCTCTTCACAGAGAGACGTCTTCTTCAGCCGCAAGGGCCTACTTCCTGAAGGAGTACTCGGATGTGCTGGTGACGAAGGAGGCCCTACGGACCGCGCCACTGAAGGCTATGGCGGGTCCGCCTATGAGGATACATCTGCGGGAAGATGCACAGCCGTTTGCCATACACACTCCCCGGTTGATTCCTCTCGCCTTCAGGGATTCAGTCAAGAAGGAACTGGATTCCATGGTGGCCCAGGGTGGCATCGTACCCGTTGGTGACGACCCATCCCCTTGGTGCCACCCTCTAGTCGCTGTGGCTAAGACTAACGGTGGAGTGCTGATTACTACCGACTTGTCTAAGCTTAACAGCCAGGTGTCCCGTCCTGCCCACCCTTCACCCACACCTTTTGCAGCTATACGGAGTGTGGATCCGAAGGTACGGCACTTCTCGACGATGGACGCCCTCTGTGGTTACTGGCAGATCCCACTGAAGGAGGAGGATCAGCCACTGACCACTTTCATCACGCCTTACGGACGCTTCCGCTACTGCCGTGGCCCTATGGGATTCGCTGCTACGGGGGACGCCTTCTGTCTCCGTGGTGACATGGCACTTCAAGGCGTGACCAGTTGCGTGAAGGTAGTGGATGACGTCCTCCTCTACGATGAGGACTACCTGACGCATCTTCGCCGCATCGACGAGGTACTGACCAGGTGTAGGACGCACGGCATCACTCTGAATGCCGAGAAGTTCGTCTTGGCCGCACCTGCAGTGTCCTTCTGCGGCTACCGACTCTCAAGGGCTGGCATTGCTGCAGACCCGGAGAAAGTTCGCGCCATAGCGGACTTTGCAAAACCTGCCAACCTTACGGATCTCAGGTCTTTCATGGGCCTGGTGAACCAGATGGCAGAATTTTCTCCTGACGTCTCCGCCGCTGCCGGGGCTCTCCGCCCTGTCAAGTCCACCTATCCTCGCTACTTTCGACCCAGCGCTCCCCACCGTCCTCCAGACAGACGCCTCGCGCCTGTATGGGGTTGGTTACACCATTCTCCAGGATCACGGTGGAGGAAAGTACCGGCTCGTACAGTGTGGCTCTCGCTTCCTCACCGATGCTGAGTCTCGCTACGCTACCATCGAGCTGGAGCTGCTGGCAGTGGTATGGGCCTTATCGAAGTGCAAGTTTTACTTGATTGGCCTACAGCACTTCGACCTCATCACAGACCACAGGCCCTTGGTCCCCATTCTT